ACATTGCAATCCAGCACTTCTTTCTTCGTTTCTAACGATTGTTTTTCATTTCTCATCACCTTGCTTAGATTTTGGAATGTTTCTTTCGCTAGAGTTTGGATTTCTGTGCTGCATTTTCTTTCCTTTGTCAAGACACGCTTCCCAGATATTTAAACATCTGCACCTGCTTGATGTTTATATCTATAATTCATAACTCATACTTTCTATCACCTTGCAGTTGACAGTTAGTCCTTTTTTCGCATTTTCTTCTACCACACTGTTTAGGAGCTTCTATAGTTTTCTTTTAGACTCAGCCATCAACACAAGGTCACCTGCGTATCTTAACTTGTTAAGATTACGCCCACTGATAATAAATCCTGGTCGGGTCTCCAGTTTCCTGAGGTTGATTAAATCTGGGAAGAAAACTCATTATATTAATTTTTATCGTTTTAAATGTAATGTTTAATTTTGTTGATATATATATATATATATATATATATATATATATATATATATATATATATATATAGCCTGGTACATGACCTGAAGATTAAGCATGAAACAGACTGTCACTGCTAGATGCTGTCTTTAATATTCACTTTTATATTAACATACGCTATATTCCTGATATCGAGCACTTTAATACATTAATATAGAATACGTTAAAACTATACTTTTATCATATATATATATATATATATATATATATATATATATATATATATATATATATATATAGGAAAAAGTGATATGTGCAGCCACATCAACGTAAATATAACTTTAGTCCGTTGAAGTTTTCAAGAACGAAACGCGTCACCCGAATTTTTTTTTACATTTTGACATTGTTTTTCTTATGATAGATAGATAGATAGATAGATAGATATTCATTTTAAATTATATTTTCTTAATTAAAAATTTCTGTAAGAAAATAAGAAAAAGCGAAATTTTAATTAGATGCAAATGTAGGTTTTATCACGAACTTCAGAAGAATAAACTGAATTCATTTATTTTCAAAATGTATTGTTGCAAGAAAACTTTCGAAATATATTTTAATGTCGGTTACTCATCAGTCACCAACTTTATTTCATTATATAAAATCTCTAAGATAATCATATAGACTTTTTTTATATTATGTACAATTCTTTAAAGAAAGACGAGATTTAAAATATAAAGATTGATATTTTTCATTAAATGTATCTTATCGCTCATAAACTTCTTCCAAAATATTGAAATTCATTTCAGTTTACCATAGCTACTTTGGAATTAACCACAAAACTCATTTGTGGTTTCCTGAAATCAAAAACGAAAAAACGTTTCTAAACATTGTTTGGATGTTTTTTTTTTTAGCAGCATATAAACACCTCCATGGGTTATTTAATACCGCAATCTAATGAATTATGTATTTTTTCTTGTTTTTTTTTTTTTATAATAATGACTTTATTGATACAAGTCTCACTAATTAACCCATAGCTGGGGGAAAACTGCTTGATTTGTACCTTTCCTCAATGTATTTATACTTACCAGATCATATAAGACTTTTCTCCAGCCATTCTTGTTAAGTATGACCCAATTACATTTTTGATAACTGATAAATTCAATGGACAAAAATGTCTCCCACAAACGCAGCCTCACAAATCGATTTCCATTGCAAATGTTCCGACGAGCTACATTCCTTAGGAACTAGGACCTTAAGATATTCAAGCCAAACGTTTTCTATCCGCCACATCCTCGCAAACTTCACTTGTGTGGGTGTTGTAATGGATACTGGCTCGGAATTAAAAATCAGAGATCAGAGTTCGAATTCCACTCGGATTCGTTACATTCGATTACGCACAAATAAATTTGAGAAAGCTATGAATCCATCTCTCCCCCATCTATGGGTTCACTAAGAAGATTTGTAACTATTACAATTATTGTTATTCTCATAAAAATTGTTAATGCAATATTCACTCAAAAAAAATATCTTTCGGCTTTAAAAACCCACAAAATTAGATAAACCGTAAAAAATATAATTCAGTCAATATACCTCAATCTCAGTTAATCTTCATACCAAAAACCACATTCAGCAATTCCTATTTTGAGTAGCTTTTGGGCCCCTGTCTTGTATTGTCTGACTTTAGTAAAAGGAATTTGTTTTTCGGTAGTGTTTCTTTAGGATAGCAATATTAATGAAAATAATCGTCAAAGAAAATATTATATTCTGTTGCTCTTTTGTTTTCCCGCTTATTAGTAATTTTTCTGTCCCTAATTCTTAGATCGAAGATTAATACAGCCGATTAATGCATTCGTGGTGGACCGATAAAATATCCGAATAGTGATTACGGCCTTTCAAGTGAATCCATAGGGGAGATAACTCAAATAAAGTATTTATCAAAAGAATGTAGTCAAGGGGGAATTAAGGCGTGACATGTAAAACGCGAGTGGATTTTTTGTTGTTGTTTTTTTCGCCCCAAGCAAGGCACTAAAGCCACTGAGAGACAAGGTGTTACCGGGTGCGGTAGAATTGGAAACAGAAGGAGCAAGAACAAAAATGAGTAATCAAGAGGAAATTAGAAAGTATCTATTTAAAATAAATATCTTTTACAATCGATTACACCTCTGCAGGGCAGTAAAAGCACTAAGACAGAAGGGGTTATTTGGTGTGGAAGAATTAGGGACAGAAAATTTACTTTTAAGCGGGAAAACAAAAGAGCAATCAGAAGGAGTGTAGATAATGATTGACATTGCATTTAAATTTTTGCAGATTAAAGTTGGTTGGAAAGGATGGCACCGGAAATGAGTTCCACAAGCGAGAAGTGCGAAAAAAAAGAAACTTTTAGCATAGATCTTACGGCTACATCTGGCCAGCTTAATTATAAATTAATGAAACCTTGTCGCCAGTCTGGTACCGCGCTTAATTTCAAAACCTCTAGGCAACATAGCGAAGAGCTCATCTGAACAATTATCATGAAAGTATTTATAGAAAAGACACAGGGAAGAAACCTTACGACTATGGGAAAGAGACTGAAGCCGAGATTCCAGAACAGGATGAATAATATTGCTGATTCTTCTTCGGATATTATCAAGGGGTTCTAGGTAAATAGTGAAGGCACCGGACCATATGTAGCAATATTCTAAACATGGACGAACGGTAGACATATAGATATGTAAAATATTCTCGCCTCCATAGTTGTTTGTACTACTTTGTATGATAAGAGAAAGAAGAAATAGGAGACATTTATCAATCTATCATGTTTCACTTTTATTAAAGCTTTATCAGATAATGAGATATGGAGGAAAATAAGAAAGAATTACGTTATATTAACTTTTGCTTTATTTGATTTTCATTCGTTAATCATGTTTAACGTGAATTCGGCTTGTTCAACGTTAGTATAATTTGTAGCGTTCCGAATTCAAGGAGAGACAACTCGTACTTTCGATATTCCAAGAAATTACTTTTTATGTCACTTTAGTCCACAAAAAGAACCTCACTTTGATATATCAGGATTCACCAATTGGGAAAATACAGAAATTAGAGAGCATTAAAATCCAGAACATCGTAAATGCATGACGCCATATTTGGCCCAGCATAACAAACTGAACGTAGACGTTCTTTATTAATCAAACGGTAGTACTGAAGTCATAAGTAACAGCATAAAATGTTAATACGTGTTTTTGTTATTCACTTTTTTTGCCTCCAAAGTTTTAGTATGGAAATTCTCAAACGCTTGGATCGGAAAAAAGATGAAAACTTTTTACGTATTCTGGTGCCAGTTGATTAAAGTTTAACTTTTTTTTTATGGAACATCATCTCAAACTGTATGGAAATGCTGGTAAATGGATTCCATCTTATCTCTCGGCAAATATTCGTAAGGAATTGATGGAATCAATAGGACATATTTTTGTACTATTCTAAAATAAAAAAAAATCCGTTTAAGTGCTATTCAACAAGTGTGGATTCCACACTAAGCACCTCTCTCTTGATTATCAATTTACCGTCCGATACATTCGATACTGTAAGCCAGGGGCGTGTTTCGCCAAGTCCATCTTCATCTTTTCTCATAGAGCAAAGAATCTTCTTGACACGTGCGAACGAGAACAAAATCCCACTATCAAACTGCCGTGGTCAGACTTAGAACAATATTTCAGATATATCTAGAGGTTGTACTTGATGGTAAATACAGATCACTCGAGTGAATAAGTTCGACATCTACGTCCCCTGTTCCGGACACAGTCTGAAGTTGGTGTGATTTTAAGTAGTAGAATATTGTCTACTTTGTGTAAAATATTTTGACGCTGTGTAATTTTGGTTTGTTTTTTTTTTTTTTTGTTTGTTTTTTTGTTTTTTTTTTTTTTTGTTTTTTCTCGGCTTCTACATATCGATAGAATATTCTGGTATTTTAGGAAAAGTTTATCTAGTGGTCAAGCGTCTGTCTGACACAAGATGTCCGTTAAATGTTGTTGCTCCCAAAGTTCTGTATGTGGAGATTTCAAGAAAATGAAACTATTTCACTGGATTCTGTATAGAATGACATTGATCCAAAACTGAACACCAGGTGAGAGGCAGAATAAATAAACAAGAAAATGGAGAACCGAGAAACAATGTTTCCGAGAATTCTTTAGAGCGACATTCTCACAACTGTGAAGAAAATAAATAATACTTCTGCAGTCAAAAGTTGTGAACCGACATTTTGCTAAGAATCATCCTGGGACTATATAAACGTTTCTTCAGTAAATTAGAACTAAATATAAGGTATATGGTTTTAAAGGTCTTAAGAATATGGTCTTAAAGGTTTCACGTAGGCGTCTGTATTCGGATTCAAGCGACAACAAGAAAGATATAAAAAGAAGTGTACGTTTTATTGCATATCAGATGAGGAGATATTTCAAAACAAAAGGATTATGAAAATATCACATTGCAACACCAGTTCCCGTCCGATCGCCGAAGTTAAGCAATATTGATGCTGGTCAGTACCTAGATTGGTGACCCCTTGAGAATACCAGGGGCTGTAATCTTGAATGTTCAGCTGGTATAAAGGTTTTATGGCCATATCACGTTGAAACACTAGTTCTTGTCCGATCACCGAAGTTAAGCAATATTGAGGCTGGTCAGTACCTAGATTGGTGACCCCTTGAGAATACCAGGGGCTGTAAGCTTGAATTTGAAGCTGATATAAAGGTTTTATGGCCATATCACGTTGAAACACTAGTTCCCGTCCGATCACCGAAGTTAAGCAATGTTATGGCTGGCCAGAACATAGATTGGTGACCGCTTAGAAATATCAGGTGCTGTAAGCTTGGATGTACCGATGATATAAAGGGTTTACGGCCATATCACGTTGAAACACCAGTTCTCGTCCGATCACTGAAGTTAAACAAAGTCAAGCCTGGTCATTACCTACTTGGATGACTGCTTGAGAATACCAAGCTTGGATGTGCGGGTGGGGTAATGGTTAATGGCTCTGAATTAGAAATTGGAAAAACGAAGTTCAATTCCAGTTGAGTTCTTTATGTTCACTCACGCGCAAATACCATGATATAAGCCCACCTCCCCAACCTATTGGTTAAATAGTGGAAATTGTGTCGTTAAATCATTATTATTTTCAAAACGTCTTATATATCCAAAATGTCTTCTGACTTTAAATAACCTGCAAAAGGTTGGTAAGTCGTAAAAAAACAAATCAGTCAGTCAATCGAAACAAAAGAGAAAAGTTCAATGTTCATTCTTCTTGTTCTGAATTCCCTGAACTCTGAGATAATAAAACGAACCGAAGCTTATTGATGGGCTGGAAATTTGTCTTCTGTCTCCAGTCTATTGATGAGCTACACGAAAAGTGTAACCAACTGGCTAATATTTATCGCAAAGTCATTGGCGATGGTGACTTTCGAAAGGAAAGCAAGCGTTTCAATGACTCCATTTGTCCGAGAATCTGTTTCCCAATGTTTAAATTTCACTTAGCGTGCTCACGTGTATGCTGATGGCCAAATGCCCTGGGGAAACGTTCATTTAGGAAGATTGAAAGTTACATCAGCTTTACAGTATAATGGAGAGCAGTGTATGAACTGGCTTACACGCATGCGCATGAGAAATGACATTCTGAACACTACAGACTTGAAGCCAATAACAAATCAATTCTCTACAAGAAAATCCCGAAAAAGATTTTGATTACTAATTGATAATTTAGGAAAAAAGACTAACTGTTAATTATAAAAAGACGGAATGAATAGAAGTTAGCAAGTGGAACTGCCCAATATATTTTTAAGCATATTCCCCCAGCGGGTGTGCCACTAGCACGCATGAGGTTACAGAGAGTGAGAACAAGAATAAAGACGGTGTTTGAGGGAAGGATATAGTGAAGGGCAAGGATCAGGATCAAGGCATCAGAAGATGTCGATTAACATTACATTTGAATATTGGAAAACTATAGCTATCAACGAAGCAAGTAAGAGAAAGGGAGTTCCACTGTTGGGAAATGCGAGACAAGAAGCTGTTGGAGTAGAAGAGACGGCTACATTTAACCGTTCCGACAGTGAGAGGGTGGGACCGTGATGCCAACATAGCAGTATGCTTAAATACATGCAGTTTGGGAACCAGTGAAAGTAGCTAGTTAGAGCGGTTGCCATGAAAATATTTGTAGAAAAGACAGAGGGAAGCCACAGCACGTCTGTGAGAGAGTGACTGTAAGCGAAATTCTAGATCAGGACCAGCCACATTGCATATTCGTCTCTGGATTTTGTTGAGGACCTCGAGATGAACAGCAGGGGTACCAGACCATATATGGCAGCAGTATTCAGTGCAAGGACGAATAGTTGATTTGTAGATTTGAAGAATGGACACAGGCGAGAAAAACCTTCTGGCACGACTCAGAGAAATATCTCCAAACCAAGCCAGTACAGAAATTGAACTATCTGAGAAGTTTTTTTTTTTTAATGTGACACAAAAACCGATGGTGCATTGGAATATTGGATGATGCAATCCCAAATCTTAGCAACGTAAGAAGAAATGGGAAAATTTCATTAGAAACTAAGAAAAGAGTGCCGAACTGCGATGAAATATCAATCTTCCCATATGGAAGCGAATATTTAGTAATTTTCGCACAGATGAAGAGGTGACAATAGATCTATAAAAAGAAGTGAGAACTGTTGTAGCATACTTAGGAACGATAATGGTTATGTCCCCATTCACATAAAAACAGTAGTAAATACTGTATGTTGGTCTGCAGTGGGAGATTCGTCTCCAGCTGTGCTGATCAAACTCTCTGCCTCCGGGTAGAGAGGATCCCCAGACGAGGCTATGTCGAAGGGTAGATTCTCGTCTCGGGAAACAGCTAGCCGACCCCGTTTTATACGGAGTCTACGGGGAATTTTTGACTGAGCCTACGGACTCGGATACTCCACATTAAATTTATCCTTGTGCCACATCTGACCGTTTGGGGCGATTGGTAAATATCCTGCCGTTGGAGATTAGTCTCCAGCTGTGCTGGTCAAACACTGTGTCTCCAGGCATCCCCAGACGAAGTTATGTCGAAGGACAGAGACTCATCTCGAGAAACAGCTACTCGACCCCGTTTTATTTCGTTATGTTTGGAGAATTTACCCTAAATCAGTGATTCTGAACAAGGAGTGCGATATTGGTTCCTATAGGGTTCGAGGATACTGAATAATTAAGGTTGGTTTATTAAGGGAATTCTAGTCTAGTGTTTGGCGACATAAATTTACAATATACACCCTTGTGCAAATTAGTTGAAACAAAACGAATAATTCCGTTATTATTTACTTTTTTCGTATTTTTCCAATGCAACATGACCCAGTGCACATGTTAGTAGTTCGTATGTGCATTTCACAAATTATTTTCTTGCAGATTGACCACAGATTCTGGATTGGATTTAAATCAGGAGAGTTTCCGAGCCAGTCTATAGTACTTTGATTTGTTCACTGGTAAGGCTTGTTATTGTGTTTGTGCAGCGTTGCAATTTTCGTACACCTCCTTGGAGTAACGTCCATCGCAGACAATGGCCGTAGGACAACTTATCGATAGTCGAGACGATAGTGTCTGAGCGTGATAAAATCTGATGATACCACTGATGACGCAACATTTTTCAAGGCCAAACAAATTTTATCATACACCCCGAAAATAGATTTATATTACTGCACACCACAGAAAATGGCCTAATCTGAAGAAGAAAAAAAATCAATTACATCCTGTCACTCCAGTGGGTCTAAAACTGACCGTTTGCTGGAAGAAAGGAAACTAAAGCGGATCTTTAAATTTATTATCTCAAGGGTGTAGAAATTTTAACAATTGCTACCATCATGATGGGGTAAATGTATACGTAGGTGGAAAACGAGCAGAAATTGTTGGTAAAACTGCGGTAAAATTTGGAAACACTACAGTGCGAAGTCTGTTTTGATCAAGAACGGACGGAACTACTGCTCAAATATTGTTAAGATGTGTTTGCCCAAATATGATTTTTAAATATTGTCGAATTGTGTTTGTGTTTACCTATAATTATTTATGCGTGGGTGATGGTGTAAATATTTAGACACACACACACACACACACACACACACATATATATATATATATATATATATATATATATATATATATATATATAATGGAATATGCATACACCTGTGTTCCCCCTCGCTGGAATCTGATTGGCTGGTGTCCGTCATAAATACCGACGGACGTGTAGGTACGACAGAGTCAAAAGAGCCTTAGTCTGAGAGCTAAGTCTATAACGACGCCCATTGGACTACGCCATTGATCTACATTTCCTATCTGCGACTACAACGCGTACCAGTCGATTACTGCTACCGTATTCTACTTGGTTATAGTAGCCAAAACCACTTAGTTACTTCGTTCAAATATATCCCTTTCCGAAACATATCAATATATATATATATATATATATATATATATATATATATATATATATATATATATATATATATATAACAGCTTGTTGATATTTTCAGAAAGGAATTTGGATTATATGAAAGTATGCGTTAATTGTTGCTGGGTTAGTTTATAGGTGATATTTAATGCTTATTACAACTTAGGTTACTGTTATATTGTGGCATTTTAGTATAGATTACCAAACGTTAAACTTTATAAAAAACGGTAATTTTTCATTTTAAAATTGTATTTAAAAAAAACTATTAACTTAATATGCTTTAATATGTGGTTTTGCAATGCCTTATTTTGCTGTCAGTTATGTGAATAAAGATTAAAGAAACACAATGGTTTTGTTATTTACATATGAAATCAATATTGCTTTTCATCAATTATGAAATAGAGTGCGACAACTGGTTGGCGGTTTGGAAAGGAAAAGAATCACAGTCCTTGAAAATGAATTTGGTAAATCACGATCAAATATTTTATAGTACAAAATGTCATTGAAAAATTTTATATTGAAAAATTAAATTACTTGCAATAAAAATTAAAGAATATAATTTTGTTTCATGGCATAATTTCCGAAGATGGATGAAAATATTTATTCACCTATCAGACCTTGAAATTCGTATCCCCAAAGACATTTAAATGTCAATTTTCATGTAGTAGGCAATGTTACGCGAAAAGATTGTCTCAGAGGGCAGAAAATATTTAATGATTCTGTTTTTTATTGTTAAGTGGATGGAGATTGTTTTAAAATAATATTAATAGATTTGGGCGATTCAAAAATCCGACCTGAGACGACAGATCAGGAGGTGGTTTTGTTCTTGTTCTATGTTCGCAAATTATAAGCTTGCAGAAATTCTTTAACAAATATCTTTATTTTAGTTTCCAAAATGAATATGAACAGACAGCGACTTTAAATTGGATTTACTTGGTTCTTTATGAGTAAAAAACAACTCAATGCCTAACAACTATGAAGGAATTTGTTTTGTCTTAATTTGATACTAACCCGTAATTAGAGAAAATCTTTAGCAAAACTAATGATATCAAATAGACCTCTAATTAACAACTCAACCAAAAACTACGAATAGTGATCCGAAAATATTTTTTAAGTCATTTCTCTCGAAGGAAGGCAATAAAGCCACTATGGCGCAAAGGGGTTACTGAGTGTTAGAGAATATGAGAAAAATTACTATAAAGAAGAGAAAACAATAAAAAAAAAGACAGAAGATAACGGTTGACATTGCATTTAAATTTTCGAAAATCAAAGTTAACTGAGACGTAAAAACCTGGAAGAGAGTTCCACAAGGGAGAATTGAGAGAGAAGAAACTGTTAGCATAGAACTTACGGTAACATCTAGTCATTTCAACTGTAAAATGATGAGACCTTGCCA